TGTATGTATGTATGTATGTATGGGGTGAACTGAACAACACATTATGTTCTCTTACAGTGAGTTACATTGTAAAAATCAGTGTATTGATTTGTTGTGGCTGTTTTGTTGTACTCCATTCGGTGATAACTCATCAGGTTATGGTTCTTATCATTGCTATTCTGAATACAATATTGCTGTTCGATGTTATTAGTATTTTCAACTTTTTAGCCTATGCTTGATTACGTTTTGGTTATATTGAAATATGGTATTTTACATAAAGTCCAGTCGGTTCTACTCTGTTCTCTGATTAGTATATCATATGGATTGATGTTCGAATATACTATAGTATAGTACATTTTTGATTTTGTGTTGAACCAGTCTATTCTTTAATATGTCGTGTTGTGTTGCATCATAGCATATTCGGTCACAGTACTGATATGGTTTGTTTTGTTTTGCGACTGTTGTGTTACCATATGACTGTCTCATATCAACTAGACCGAATGACAACATGCATGACATCGAAACCTAAACCCTAAACCCTAAACCCTAAACCCGACTGTTTGTCTCATCCAGCAGGACGACATCGCGGATCTGAGCATGGACTGGATCCGTGCTGTCTCCGAAGGACAGGGTTTAGGGTTTAGGGTTTAGGGTTTAGGGTCTCGGGTTTAGGGTTATTAATTCTACGGCTGATGATACAAATCCTGCATTACCCATAACAAGGAACATACCAAGCTTCCACAGTTTTGGGTCCTTTAGGCAATGTAGGGTTTACATCATCAAAAGTCGTGTAGGGCCCTGATTAGAATAGGGATTGCAGGGATCGTTTATTTAGGGTTTAGGGTTTAGGGCGGAGCTGAAGTGGAATACTATTGGTCATTATGCCGCTGATATGTTTTCAAGGGTTGTTTGCATGATTTCTATGGTGTTATTGGTTATTAGGGAATATTCTGGGAGTTCTGTTTGCATCTTTTTTTGACAAGTAGGCATCCCTTCGAAAACTTTGCAAAGTCCCAAGCCCTGACCCGAATCCAAAGCATTAAACCCTATAAACCCTAAACCCTAAACCCTAATCCCTAAACCCTAAACCCTAAACCCTAAACCCTAACCCCTAAACCCCTAAACTTCTGTGAAGGCGTCTCTGCACCGGTGGAACGCACCTTTATCCAGTTCAACACCAAGCTACAGGCCGGTGTCTGAATATGCGCGGTCTTAGACCCTGAGGGTCCATGTGCCCAAATAGTATAATATACTAACCCTTATAGGAACCCTGGGATCCTTTAAGGGTTCCTATAAGGGTTAGTAAAGGGTACTATAGGGGTTCTATAAGGTGTAGGGTTTAAGGGTCCATGTACCCAAATAGTATATACATTGGCCCCCAAAGTACTTATATAAGGACTAGGGTTTAGGGTTTAGGGGTTTAGGGTTTAGGGTTTAGGGTCTATCCCAGAGATTGCAGTCCCTGTGTTCGTGGCTGATAGGCAGAAACCTAGCCCAGCGCTGGCGCAGATTGTCTTCAAGAAGTCGCTGAACCCTCCCAAATAGGTTACTAGTAGTGCTAGGGTCTGAGTAGGGTTTAGGGTTTAGGGTTTAAATCCTCAACAGCTTGAGTATTTTCATCGCCCGGACAGGTGAACCACAGGCGCTCCAGCTCCCGCTGAAGCGGAGCGGCCATGCCCACTGCTCAGTGTTGACGCCCTAAACCCTAAACCCTCTGTTTAGGGGTTGGGTGTCTGTTTTCGACTTCAGGGACGAATATAGAGGCCTCAATAATTACCTATACATATATATATATATATATATTTTTTTTTTTGGGGGGGGGGTCCTTAGAAGAATCTTACTATGCAGGACCCCAAAACCCTATTCGAATTATGAAGGGCACATTACCGGCGAGCGGTGGCTTCATGAAGCCAGGGCTTTGAGTCTGAAGGGTTGTTGCAGCTTCGGGGCTTTATAACCCTAAACCCTAAACACTCTTTAGTTTGTGGAGTTAGGGGTGGGGGGTTTAGGGTCTAGGGTTTAGGTTCAAGGCTTCAGGGTTTGGGGTTTAAGGGATTGGGGGTGCCTTCCCTTACCCTCAAAGGACTTATATTTTAAGGCTTTTCGGCCCAAAGACCCTATTATAAAAGGCTTCTGGGCGATTTTGATGCTAAGGGTTTGTGTGTTTAGCGCGTTGAGGTTTATGGCTTCGTGGCTGGAGTTGTAATGATCTTCACCGATAAGGGTTTTAGGATCTGAGGCTGGGCTCAGAACTTTGGGGCCCTACATGTAGAACTCCCCAAAAGAACCATGTCGTCAAAGCAACCAGGGAGGGGTCACCAGCTTCGAAGTGTCAATGGTTCTTGAGGGGTCTCTCAAGGTCGTGGACGCAGCAGCACTCATGGAGCCATGCGCCGTTGACAAGACCGCGTCTGCGTACAGCGGTGTGACGAGCATTGTCAACGCTGAAGTAAACAACATCGCCGCGGCGCAGGCGGGCCTCGCCGTTCGAACGGGAGCAGTGGAAACTGACCTTCGTGCCGTGCGAGACGAGTTGAGTACATTTTTGACAAAGGAGGAGGCATCTGAACCTTAAGCCCTTTTAGGGTCCATCTCGTCTTTTTCGTTCGGGGTTTAGGGTTTAGTGTGTGTCTCAGAGTGAACGCAAGCAGTTTCCATGGGTCCGCAATATATGAAGGTCACTAGAAGCAACAGAAGCACGACTCCCGAGGCTTCCTCCTTATGGGGGTTTAGGGTTTAGGGTTTAGGGAGAGCCCTAAAACCTTCAACAGCTTGTGTTCGTTGTCTTCCGGTTGTGCTTTGATGATGCCCTATGATGGTCATGTGCACCCCTGTCGAAACTGTCATCATAGCGGAGATTTGCCTAGGACGAAGCACTGCAAAAAGAGATAGCCGAAGCCCGAGGTAAACCCTAACCCTAAACCCTAAACCCTAAACCCTAAACCCTAAACCCTAAACCCTAAACCACCCTAAACCCTAAACCAAGTCAGCATTCACGCCCAGAGCTCTAATTAGATTTGAAGTCCTGAAGCTGGACAGAAAAGGGTTTAGGGTTTAGGGTTTAGGGTTTAGGGTTTAGGGTTAAGGGTCCTTAACTAAAGGAGGTTTCGGCCTTATAGGGTTTAGGGTTTAGGGGACGGAATCTGCTGCGACTGAGGTCTTTCCGAGTGGCTTAGGCGGGGCGCGTGGGGCTCGGTTTTTTTGGGGATAGGGGGGTGCATTCCACTCTTTCTGCCACGGGTCTCTCAGCATCTGGCACGCTTGCAAAGTTGATGTGTTTTATGCCCTGGAACGAAGCAACCACAAGACACGAAAAGAGATGAAAGAGGTACCAGCGGGGGGGGCTCTCAAACCTAATCCCTAAACCTACCCCGCGCCCTAAACCCTAAACCTTAAACCTTGAACCATAAACCCCAAAACAAGAGCCCGTAACCCCGAAGCCTTGAATCTTTTGCCGGAGGCGTTTAGGGCTTTAGGGTATAGGGGTTTGGGGTTTAGGGGTTTAGGGGTTTAGGGTTAGGGTTTAGGGTTTCTAAGGTTTAAGGTTTAGGGTTTAGGGTTTAAGGTTTAGGGTTTAGGGTTAAAGTCTGCCACCGAAATACCAACAACTAGGTACACCTTCATTGAGAAAGATGAGGGAATATGTCCCGTAGACATGTAAGCAGTGCCTCAGATTCCAGGACATGATGCTGAACACAACGTACTACTGTAGCAAAGAAGCCCTGTAAGACCCCTTTAGCCTATAGTTTACGGCATGTTCTCTCCGGGTGTGCAGCCCAGGCTTTACATTGCTGTTCTCAACACTGCCATCTATGTAGTATAGAAGCTTAAATGCTTCGCAATACTATTCCTTCGGGTTCTTACTCTGGGTATACGTTGCACTCTCAGATCACTATCATACACCAGAAACTCATTGTGCTTGTTAAGGCCCCTATATTAAGCCCGAAGCCCTGAACCCTAAACCCTGAGCCCCTGGACCCTCCCTCTGAGAACGGAAGGGGTAGACGCACTTTCCTTAAGGACCAGTTTCGGGTTCAGGGTTTAGGGGTTTAGGGGCCCACTGACACCATACCAATTTCAACCCTGAGGTCTATCTTGGTCTAGGATATTCTCAGGTGGGTAGAGGAGCTTTATAGAAGCCCTATAAATTCCCCACCTGTAGTTTCCTAACCCTAAACCCTAAACTCTAAACCCTAAACCCTAAACCCTAAACCCTAAACCCTGAACCTTTAAGCTTGGACTCGCAAGCTCCCTTTCCTTAAACGTCCATGCGCCTATGCAGTAGACGCCGTCGGGCCCCAACCCAAAGGCTCCAGGGTTTAGGGTTTAGGGTTTAGGGTTTAGGGTTTCGGGTTTAGGGTTTAGGGTTTAGGGTTTAGGGTTTCTGGAAGCAAGTCCTACAAGACCATCCTTATTATGGTGCTACTGTAGGGGCCTCATTCCAAAAGAACAGCACATATGGAGCCTCTAGGTGAAGCATATGGAGCCTCGAGGTGAAGCGCCGAAGAAGAAGGAACCATTTCAAGGCTGAAGTATTTACTAATAGGGTAGATGGTTTCGTTTCGGTCTTAATCTAGGATGCCCTTGTAGTTATGCTAGAGGAGGGGGTGGATTCAGCAGGTGTCTGCATTTCAAAGCCTTTGCATAACCCAGTCAGTACAGAACCCAAAAGATCGTGTAGGACCTCGGACCACTCTGCAAGCCCTCTCAAAGTCTACAGGGTACTGTCCAAACTCCGCTTCAAGCGCAAACCCCAAAACCTTGCCAGCGCCCAGACTTAAAACATGTTATCAAAGATGATTCGCTAAAGAGCTGAAAGTGTGCACTTCTGCGGGCTTATGAACTCAGAAAATCACCCATTCCTCGAAGCTGCAGGTGTATGATGCATCATCTGTCAGTGGAGGCCTTTGCGGCAGGCCCACCAACATCTCCCTTAAGTTAGCCCTACACCTCAAACCGCGCTGGGAATCCGGAAATCAAAGCAATAGGGATACCGTTTCTGTTGATTCTCGGATCCAGTTTCATTCTACTGCTGATGAACTAATCTTGCATCACCTTACGCATCCTGAACTATTGGAAGGACGGGCGTTATCGGTAGGGTTGTGTCATTCGAGAACATGCCCCTTAAGAATGAAGACTCGTTCATTAGCCTAAACCCTAAACCCTAAACATCTTTTTTTGGGGGGAACCCCCCCTCATTAAGCCAGAATGAGAAGACAAGTAGAGCTCACGCGATGTTCCTTAAGTAAGGGGGTTGGGTTCCCCGGGTGGCACCTCTACATTGACTCTACATTTTAGGGTTTAGGGTTTTGGGTTTAGGGTTTAGGGTCTACGTCAGGGCTTTCTAGTTGACATGTATTGGCGGAGACTCCTGGCTGGCAGCATGCCGGCAGGGATCTTCCTTGAAGCAACTCCCCCCCCCTTAACAGGGGCTAATGTAGAAGCCTGGATAGATCGGGTTTAGGTTTTGGGTAATGTAGAAGCCTGGATAGATAGTAGTACTGATCACCCCTTAGAGCCTTAGTGTTCGTGAGTGTACTCGTAGTAGTTGTACACGGCAAAGCCTTGTTCTGATTGTCAATGCTCCTATCCAAGTGTTTCAGAAACGGGCCTGAGTACCGCATAGTCTTTTCTTGTAGTTAGATAGGAAACAAGACTTGCAACGAATCTCCACTCCAACCACCCCCGAAGCTGAAAATAGCCAAAAGCCCAAAGCCTAGATAAGCATATATTCGCTTACTATACGAGTCCTTAGAGCCCTCGGATGCGATGGACCCAGTATTAAGGTGGGTCTTTGGCTCTTCCAAAGATTTTCAACCATGATGACAACCGGAATGATGAATGCAACTGAGAATATCTGAATGTACATGTACCTATATATATATATACATATGTACATATGCACATATATATATATATATATTCCCGATTGACAGTGCTGGTTGGCCCGTAAACCCTCAACACACAGCCCTGATTGCGAGTTCAATGTCGCGACAGATGAGCTGCCTTGATACGTTTACGTTTTATTTGAAGGATAGGCTGAAAACAGCCTTGTCGCCTGGGCCTCTAGCAGGCAATCATACATGGTCCCTATAGAACCTGAACCCTGGACCCTAAGGTTTAGGGTTTAGCGTTTAGGGTTCAACAGTTTCAACTTACAACTTATGAACCCTCCAAACCTGAACCTAAACCCTAGTCAACGGTTCCCGATCAACCCTATAAGCCGTAGCTCATCATCTAAACCATATACACCGTAAGCCCTAAGACCTAAACCCTAAACCCTATATGCCGTAAGCCCTTATAGGAGCCTTTATAGTTACAGCAGCCCCAGAAAGCAACCCTTATCGCAGCCCAGAGCGGAAAGTTTGAAAGGAGCTCCATAAAGGAACCCTTGAAGGCGCCCTTATTCTAAGGTTTAAAGTATGGGCCCCTAATATGGGCCCCTAGGCCTTTCTAGGGACCCTCAAGAGTACATGTAGGGTATAGAGTAGGTGTATAAGGATCCCGGGGTTAAGGGCCCATACTAGGGGCCCATGGGCAAACCTTAGACTTATGGATGCCTTTATAAATCCCGGTCCATCCCTTGAAGCAGCCTTTACAGTCCCCCTTGGTGGAGCCCCCGAAACTCTAAACCCTTAAAGTAGCATCCTTTTTCCTACTT